TCTCTTCTCTCCTTCACCTCCCTCTCCAAATTAATTTTTTGCTGCTCAAAGAACATTTCATACTTGTACTAATTAGGTGCACAGAAGAGGCATGGAGGACAAATTACACCTCCATTTGTAAAAGCCAAAGAGAGCAAAAGTTAATTGTTTATGCCATTCAACAAATGATTTTTCACATGGTAGCATTATGTTAGGTGCAAATACTGTAATTGCAAAATTATTTAATGGTGAAAAAAGAGAGATGAAATGCAACAATAAAATACAAACTGTGCAACTCTGTGGGATGGTTTTAATGCATTATGATGGGACGGTTGTTGCTTTCTTATGGCATTTCTATGTGAGCTTTAAACAAGAAGCAAGGCAGCATTCAGTCTAGAGGCTCTAGTGAATTTTGGTCAGTTATAGTGTACATTGCTGAATTAAACAATGCCCCTGTCAACTAACATTTATTAAGAGTCAAAGAGCACATCTACACTGGCCCTTTTGGTGCAGGCTATTGCACTCTAAGCGGGGTTGCTTGATGTCAAGGTAGGGGGAGAATGATATGCCATTTGGTGTGATCCTCATGTCTAAATGGCATGTTGACCTCAAGTGACCCTCTGGCTCCTTCTGCTATCAACTCAACACTTTTCCTGTGTCTCTACATAGGGGCACAGGAAGTGAAATTATTATTTTTGCTTGTGCTAAACCACTGCTGATGCACTGAACCACTTAGATTAAATTCATTTTTCCCCTTTGCCTTGTGTATAGTGCTGATAAAAAAAAACTGGCCCCAGGCTTGGTTTTCAATCAGCACTTGACATTAAGGCAAAGAAGAATTTTAAAAAATAATAATCTAAGCCAGTGGGCCCCAGGCTTGGTTTTCAATCAGCACTTCACATTAAGGCAAAGAAGAATAAAAAAAAATAATCTAAGTGAATCAGTATATCACCAACGGTCTGGGAGATGCAAACAAAAAAAATCAGCAGAAACCCCAGCCAGCACAGTTGGTGGTGAAGGCTTCTGGGAGTTGCAGTCCAAAACTCCTGAGTAACCCAAGGTTAAGAACCAGTGATCTAAGCGATTCAGTGTATCACCAACGGTCTGGGAGATGCAAACAAAAAATAAATAAATCTGTCAATATCCTGAGGCAGTTTGTTTGAGCCAGTTCATGACACCTGAACTTCAAACCAGAAGGAGACCTGGCAAGCTGAAAACTTTGGCAGCTGCAAGGTTCAATTTTAGTCCATTCCCAGCAGTCACATGTGCTGGGAATGGGATGAACTAGAGAGCACCAACCTGCACCAAAAAAGTAGAAACCCCTGACAGGCTCAAAAAGGTGAGGGTTGAGGTGCTGTTGGGGAAACTGAAGCACATTACTTTGCTCATTGTGTGGTCACCAGAAAAAAGAGGAGACCAATCCACTTCTGTAACACACCAAACAAATCTCCATCTGAATAAACCCAAAATCTGTGTACTGTAGGCTAGATGGGAATATCTGTAGGTCTATGCACTGTGGCTGCTCGTTGCACACCTGCAACTGACTTAGAAACACAGGCCATTCGTCACAATCCTCTAACATAAGACATCTGATTTATGCTGAACAATTTTAGTAGTTGTGGTGAAAAACTTATATGTGCCAGTCTGAATATAGACAGTATATTTAGAATCTGGAACAGCTGGGATACTCTGGAAATAGCAGTGAGTCCAATTCCATTTTTAGTGTTCCTGCCCACCATCTGATGCAATTCTATTACAGGAGATTAATATATATTCGGCAAGACTTCTTTCCTTGCACACCACAAGTGCAGTTGCTTAACTGGGAGTGCTAATAATTTCTTGCTTAATGTTACTTGGTTGGGAAATAATTCCTAGTTTGAACAAGGGGTCTAGAACATGGACAGTGGCTCTCATCACCTTTGTTCCAACTGGAAAAACGAGAAGGAATCCACTATATCGTCAACTTTAGGTACTCAAGCTCCGTCAGCCTTTACAGAGTGGAAAGACGTTAGATATAAAATTGTTTAATCGTGCTAAATATGGTAGTCTTGTCAGGCAAAAACAAGAAAAAATTAAAATTAAAATACAAAACTGTTGTGACACATGAAATACTGTTAGTTTTTAATGTGATTTTAATGTGAGCTTTTGAGGATCAAATCCACTTCCTCAGACATGGTACTCTTGCAATGCATTGTGTTGATTTCTAAGACTTTGGCTGCCTTTCTATTGATTCATTCATCTCAATGAGGATTACAACACTGTCGCACAATTCAGTCAAGGACTAGCATTTCAGTCACACTAGTTTTGAAGGAAGAGATTTAAGTGCTTGCTTAATCTCTGTCTGACAACTGACAGGACAAAAGTCCCTCTATCTTGTTAGGTCTTAACCTGAAATGTTAAAACAGGAAGACAAGGGCATCCAAAACAAAAACCGAAGGATAGCGCTCCATGATACATCTGTGTATGTATAGAACTTGGAAAGTTTACTTTGTTTGATCCTAATTCCCAGAGTCTCCGAACCAGCATAGATCCAAAAAAGTGTCTTTTTTGGCTTAGCCTTAAAAGGAACTTTTAAACTTAGCCTTCCCTAACCAGCTGTCCTCCAGATGCTTTGGACTTCAACTTCCATCATCCACATCCATGATAGCAAGCAAGGAAAAACAGAACAGGGATGTAAATCCTCACATCTCTTAGATTGTAGTCACACTGGCAATTTGAATCAATTTCTGTTCAGCCTTTTAAAAAATCAGATAATGAAACTGGTAGGCTGTGCTCACGTGCACTGAATGGAAATAATTCATTTCTGGTTATTTAAACTGGCTTTGGCATCTACATGGCTGAAATCGACTCATTTCCACAAAACTGTATTGAACAGAATCAATTTTAGAATGAAGTATTAAAAAAAATCTGCTGGCCAGTTGGGAAAAAAAGCAAAAAGCATGGTGTTTACATACTGCCCCATAGCGCTTTAAGCATCCTCTGGGCAATTTATAATTTGTTGAGTTTTAGACTTCCTTCTTTTTTGTTGAAGCTTTGCTGATGTTTGTGAATTTCAATGGCTTCTCTGTGTAGTCTAACATAACGATGGCTGGTTTTGTCCAGCTACAAATACTCAACTACCCCACACACTACACCAGAACACAGACAAAGTTCTAACTCCTGTCCTCTGAAGATGTGAGCCACAGATACTGGTGAAATGTCAGGAAGAAAAACCTCCAGAACACAGCCAAACAGCCAAAAAAACCTACAACAACCATCACTGTAAATGATGCTTAAATGTGCTTCTTATTGCCAATGTGACCACAACCTTATTCTTGCAGATGAGAATTAAGAAGCACAAAGTTATTCTCCTTGCCCCACAAGACGGCAAGACATTTTGTGGCACTCTGAAGAATAAAAGAAGATGAGAACAATGATGTTTTTGTAACAAAGATCATGCAAAACAATGCTGTAACCCAAATAATTCAACTTGCACAAAATTGTTATGTTTGTAGCTTTATTGTATGGACTCTGAAGCGTGAGAAGGATGCAAGAAGGTGTCGTTGTCTGATAACAATAAAACATTATTCCACAGTTGCTGCATGTGTACCTTGCTTTTCAAAGGGAAAAAGGTCACTAGCGTTGCACAGACAGTTTGTGAGAGTTACCGAGCCCTTAATGAGAAAAAATAGCTTTCCTTGTTTTGCTCTCAGCTGGAGAGATGGAATCTCACAGGGATTGAATATACCTTGTGGTGGTGCCTCATCAAGCCAAGACAGCCTGAATCAATGAGAATGAAGAATTTAGTAAGATTGTTTCCAACCTGCATCTGGGGGACCTCAGGTTAGGGAAGGCTCGTATATATGGTCAGTACACACATCGCATCATACACATGAAAAAGATGTGTGAGCACTAGAGGTGCCATTGAAGGAAGTGGGGAACTCATGAAAGCAAGTAAGGTATATCTTAACACTCTCTTCTCAAACATATCTGCTTACTAGGATTGGGATACTAGACTTGAGTATACATTTATATAACTCAAATTGCTAAAGTAATTTTTTATACACATTTCAATCTTCCTCTCTCACACATATCTACTCTCACACACAAACCAAAGGCAAATATTTTACATTATATCTTATAAAACTGTACATTGTAATATTTATTATCATGAAAACAACTATTCAGTTATATGAATTGCTGCTTTGTTAGTAAATATAAATCTGAGAAAAATGGGCTAAATCAGATACGAGTCCCATCTAGAGTTGACCCACTTATATGAATGGGACTTTTTAGTCACAACTAATTTGAATCTCACTGATCCTTAGATAGGGTGAACCCTAGATATTATGTCAGTGACTGATCCAACTGTTACTTCTACTCAGATTGCAATTTATAGACTTTCAACAGCAGCACAAAACAACTGCCAAAAATACAAGCATTAACCCTTTTGCATCTACCGGTGGTACTGTAATTACTTGTAATGCTGTAAAACACATCTATTTTGTCTAATAATTAAAAAGACTCATAATAACATGGGAAGGACCCTACCCTCACAAGGATGTATGGGAGCAGCCTTCCTTCACAACTAGCACCCTCTAGCTGTTTTAGAGTACAGCTGTCATCCATGCTACTCAGCATGGCCAACACAAGGGTTTAAGAGAAAACAGTAAATAATTGAGTTTACCGTTCTAGGTTGATGTTTGTTCATATTTATTTTTGTCCTGTCATAGCACAATTAAACATTAAACAGTACCTATGGGACAGACTGCACATTAGAGATCTATAATGTGCCAATATCCCCTGTGGAATAAAAGGGATGACCCTTATTTGCTGGTAGCTAAATTGAACCTTTTGATCCCATTCAGCACAGGCAATCAATAGGCCAACCCTCTTCAGGATCCTGTCCCTTGTGTGCAAAAGAGTGAGAGAGTAATTTTTTAAAAGTTGCTCTTCTCTCTGGAGGCACCGTGGGGAACTGAACTCCTAACCTCAGATACCTAAACCACTGAGCTATCTAGCCAGCTTTAAAGCTGAGGTCATGCCAAACAAAACAAAACAAAACAAAAAAACAAAAACAAAAAAAACCCTCCTGGAAAAAGAGACAGGCAGTCACTACTATCAGCTTTATCAGGGTAGTTGTTCACCTGCCTGTGATGGGGATTGAAAGAGCTGATTGAAAGGATGCAGTCCATACCTGCAAGATACAAACTCTGGATAAGGACCTTTTTAGTCTCTACTCTTACACTAATACAGACACTAGCACTTTAACCCAATGGTGTCACTGTGCTAGCACAAGGATTAGAACACAGCTGAAATGAAATATTACAGTCAGTGCAAGGGAAGGATTTTGCACCATCTTCTATTGTGCAACTGGATGTGCTATGCAGTGCATGCTATCATGCACTGCTGCTTGTGCAATGAACAATCCAGCACAACTATGCTTGCTGAGACTTTTACTCCATTGGTGTCATGATGGATCTAGGCCTAGAAGTATAACTCAGTGGCCATTTTAGTCTCAGCAATCTATAATGTTCTCCCTTCTCCTTTTTCCATTTGTCAGATACATGCAACACAGGTAAAACCTTAAAGCATACGGTAATGGAGTACATGAACAGGAAAATGCTGCTGCATGTTTCAAAATAACTTGGGAAGAATTTCTATAATGTTGCTAAATGGTTAAGGCAACTATATCAATACATTAAACACAGCATATGGTTCTTATATTGCTTTCTACATTCTAAACGTTAAGAAAGAAAATAAGAGATTCAAACATGCTCTGATTTTTTAAACCACTTTGGAATTTTATCCACCTGGAAAAGAGTGCGGCACTTTCCCCTATAACATAGTGGCCGATCCCTAAAAATATCTGTATCTGAAATCTGATTTTCAATGCAATTCATCTGAAAGATCATACAGATAACAGCCTGTTACTCAATGAGTAAAGAAGGGAAATGCTGACATTACATTAACTTACAACTTCAACATTCTGATTCAGATCTACTACAATAACTTAATCTACTCAGGTTTCCTGTTCATCCTTTTTACATCTTGAGTAGATGAGACGTTAAACAGAGCTATCTCCAGACACTGTGAATACACTATACTGATGTCTGCTGTTAGCTGGGCCCAGACTAATACTTAGCACTTAAACTAACATACTACATAATAGTAGAGTGCACAATTTAGAGAGCCATTTAACTTTGTTTTTACTTGGATAAGGCTGTAAGTATAAATGACAGTAAACAAAAAAATTGCACAGTTACTGTAGTGTAACACAGCTATGACACTGAGTGCCACACAACTGCTAGGGAAGCCATAACAAAGAGCACAGAGCTTGAAGCTTGATTGCCTATATCTCTGTCCCCTTTACGTTTAGGAGATGGTTTCATAATAATTGTGGTTGTGGTGTCCATCTTTTTCATAGTTGGATTTGATTCGTTCCTGTCTCCAGTATTAGTTCCAAGGACATCTAAAGAAAAAACAAATAAGTAATGTTAGTTATTTGGAAGAATATATCAATAACATGAAACTTTCGTAGCTGTGGATACCCCATTCCTGCTGACAAGCTGCTTAAATGGAAATAATATCTGCAAACTAGTATCCTGAGATCCTCAGCACCCACACCAACACAGCAAAGCTCAGCTGCTTTACAGGACCCAGATATAATAGGCCCCTTTTGCTGGTCCAATCTTCCTATCTGGATTTGGGCCTATAAAACCAGGGCAAAGAAGGGTAAGTTATGAGTAAGCACACTTTCTGACATAACATCATTCCCCCATCAGATTTAGTTGCTAGTTTCCAGGCCAAACTCTGGCCCTAGACTGGCAGTTTTGTAAACAGAAAAGAATAAAATAAGTGTATTTCTGTGGGTTTTGCACAAGAATGTTTCATTACAGTTCAATGGTTGAAATCTTGTTGCTTAATGTAGTAAGTCACCTTAGAGCAGGCCTGCTGAATCACTGGGGATTTGGTGAGTCAAGTCCTTCATGAGTTCCATTAATTCAAAGGGGCCTATTTTAGTTGTGGCTTACAACAGTACAGTAAGTCACAATTAGAGCAAACAATATCAAGGTACACTCGCTTTCAAAATTAAGAAATTCTGTCAATATTCTTTACATCTTTAGTAGACAATGTTAGGGCAGGTTGCTATAAGGCAGTTATCTCTGTTTCTGTAGATAAACTATTTTAATTTATAATTGCACTGGGCCAGGAAAGCTCAATGCAGGCTCATTCAGATGTATGCAGCTTGGGGGTACATCTGGACCCGACGCTCACCATGGAAACCCAGGTGGCGTCGGTAGTCCATACTGCCTTCTTCCAGCTTTGGCAGATTGCCCGGTTGCGACCCTACCTCGACACGGGGGCGCTCACTACCTTGGTACATGCGCTCGTAACCTCAAGATTAGAGCACTGTAACACACTCTACATGGGGCTGCCTTTGAGGCTGATGTGGAAACTTCAAGTGGTGCAGAATGCAGCGGCCTGGCTCCTTATGGTTGCCAGACGTTTGGCAAAAGGAGGACATGTCCTCCTTTTCAGGAGCATGTCCTCCGTCTGGCAGGCAAGACTAAAAAACTCCAAAATGTCCAGCTTTTGTATCTCACCCCACCCCTCCCTCTCTCCACCTCCTGCAGCCAAACCTCTCCCTGCTACCTCATTGGTTGAGGCACTTGTAAATCCTCCGGTTCTTTCCAGCCCCAAGCAATCAATCCCTGGCTTGTGGATGGCTGCTTCTGCCTGCAGCTGAATAAGGCAGGAAGGAGCGAGAGAGATGGATGGATGGAAACGGACAAGAGTGAAGTGAGTGTGCACTGGCTTGCCTGCAGGAGGGGAGGCTGTTCTGGGGTTTGGGGTGGTGGTGGTTGAAAGCCAAGGAAATATCCCCCCCTTCTGCCCTGACTGCCCCCAACCCAAGCCCCCAATTGCAAAGAAGATGAAACATATGTATGGTCACATACTTTCTGTCTCACTGCCAATAAACATGAACACATTATTTCATGATCAAGCACTTTCACAGGAACCCTACAGAATTTTTGGTGCCAGATGACTTTTCTACCATGAATTTCCCTTTTCATTTCATTTTGTCAATGACAAACTTTTGTATAACCGCACAGCCACATCCAGAGTTGAAATACCTGAGCACCATTACGACAAATATAATCATGACTGAAAGTTGTAACAGCTTGTTCCATTTGGGCTAACAAGCCCTGTTGCACTTTCCTATCTCTAACTTAAAAGAACCATGACTGGAGTTGGGCACAAATTGAAAAATGAATTGCAAAATTTATCAAAAGTTGCTAATTCATCAATTCATACTTATTAGAAGCAATGCCCCTGACAAGTATGAATGGATGAATTTTTAGCTATTTTTTGTATTCATCTGGCTATGAACTGCCCTCCCATGAACCTAGAGACACCAAAATCACCGAGAAGCTTCTCCAGACTCTACTCCTTTACTCTATAATCCCTTCAGGTTTGGTGAAGATTGGGTTTCAGACATCTGCGTTATACACCCACAAAGTAGGTCCCCCCAGGAAAGTGGCCTTTAGCAGCTAGCTTGGGCGAAGTTCCAGCACTGTCTCTAGTTGCTGGAAGTACATTTTATAGGATTTTAAAGTCAAGAAGAATCAATGAATTGATTCGTAGAGCAATTGGATAAAATAGCAAATTCATGATTTTTGACCTTGACAAATTACAAATCACAACAAATTGCCATTTTTTCAATTTATGCCCATTTCTAACCATGACTCAGCAGCCTTGGGCTGTGTTTACATAGATGCATCTATGCTGGTGTTTTCAAAGTTGGCAATATTATAACCTCTGGATATTGAACAGTTAAACCTAATGGCTTTCGTGGAGAACTATGTTCAAAGGGATAGGAAACTCATCTGGCCTTGCCGTAGCCAAATGCTTTTTCTGATCCACTAATTCAGGATCTGCATTCTGTGAGGATGAAGGTATTGGTCCACAACCCATTTAAAAATAAAGCATAAATATACATAGGAACTGATATTTCCAAAGAAATAAACATAATCTGAAGCCAGTTGCTTCAAAGAACTATCAATAAACTCTCCATGATCACAGAAATTTACATTTTCTGATAGAATACACCATCTCTCAGTACCACATATCATGAAGGAAATGCACTGCTCCCCTTAGCTTTAGCATATCACCATCTATCTGAAGAAAACTCATGGCTTTTAGCATGTATGCTGAGTTTGATGAAAGCAATGGCTGTTTAAGAGAATGGGATAGCTGCCCCCCCCACCCAGCTTCATTGCTGGTAATACACTGCAGACTCAGTACTTTTTCAGTTACATCTCATAATGGCATTTGTTTGAAGGGTGTGTGTGTTCTGAAATATTACTAGCAAAATGGGTATCATTAAAGCAAATCAATAGGAATTGTTATAAAAGGTTTTATAAAACTGAGTGCACATACAGTACTCAGATTTCAGGTCAGCAAGTTACACCTTCATTCACGTAATCAATTAAGTTCCCTCTAGCTGTTGTCCTCCACAGTTATTTCTTGATAAGCTGTTACTGTTGTGTGACCACCGGGCAACCTTAAGCTTTAGTGGCTTTTTTCCCCAACCTGTGTTTCTTCCAAGACTTCTTATTCCACCCTCTTGCATGTATATGGTGCTGTTTGGATGCCATAAGCACTCATTCTTAAACACCAGAATTAGAGGCAATGATTAAGAATAAATCTTGGCAATAGGTAATTTTTCTGGCAGTACGTGGCCCATCTTTCCATCACTGTCCCCATTTCAACTGTGGTAAAGGCTCTATTCCTCCAGTGTCTCTTATATCATCTTAGCTTGCTGACTTCAGCTCTCATGAGTTTGCTGATTAAATAAAGACTTCACTATATTAAATCTATTCCTCTCTTTCACTTGGCCATCTCCAGTGTTATAACTTGATTGGCCAAGTTGGAATATATTAATTCATTTATTTTTCTTGTATTAACTTAACCAAAACATCAGAGGTAAGATTGAATGCTCTCAAGGAAAAAAAAGTCCACTGGCTTTTAAAAGCTTTCTCCTCAGTACTGACTTCTTAATGCACTACATAACAAGCATTAAATAATACATTAGGAAAATCTATCTTTAACCTTTCTAAGGAAAGGGCTTCAATGCTGCTTTTCTCGTTTACTCTGCTTTCATATCAAAGATTATTTCATGTGATGGAATGTGTGACTGTTTACAATCCAAAGAGTAAGTGCAAGCAGGGCATTTTGTAAAATTTTCTTTAAAAAAATAAATATGTGGTGTTTGACAAAGTATTGTAATCATGTAGGGCCATTCATTCGTTGGAAAAGCCTAAGCGTAGAAGATACATAATGTTTTATTCATCTTTGGTAGGAATCATCTGTGAACAAAAAAAGAAAAAAGAAGAAAAGAAGTAGCTTCCCTTAAATATCAGACTCTTAGGATCTAATGCCCCGGAGACTGTAATACTGAATTGTCAACACTCCCTGTTCTATAATTATTACAAATAACTTGTAAATACTATCTGTGGTTATAATGCAGTCTCAATGGCAGGAATACATTTAGCAGAGCTACAACAATACATGTGGGAATGCAGAAAACTCCCAGGATCAGGAGGGAGGAAGCAATAATTTTAGTCACTACCCTAGGGATCAGTAAATCTTCTTATTTCTGGTTCATGTCACTTTCAGTTTTCCATTCCCTGAAATTCTATTCCTTTTGCAGATTAATCTGTAATTGTTAAAAATGGTTCCAGAAATACACAGTTTGGTTTGCATTTGAAAGCATATTTATTCTCAAAATACATATATAAATGTGTATTTCTGCCCAAAGTATTACAGTATTTAAATGTGTTCAAATGAGAAATGCATTGTAATCATATGGAAAAGTGTGAAATATAATGTGTTACGATTGGTTTAATAATCCAAAAGATGCAGAACAGGTCGTCTTATGAATCCATTTCTGAAGACTGAATTCCTCTAATTTCTCTACCCTGCTCTAAGCCTGAGCACACAGCTTTCTCTGATCTAATACACGGAGATCACCAACACTCCTGGGAGGAAGTCTAGTGCTATATTGGTGAACATGCTTTCAAGATTTGAACTGAATATACTGTATTTTTATATCACTGTTCAAATAAGAGGTGTTGCTAATATAAAATGAAAGTTACAATACATAAAATATATCAACAATACCAAAAAAACAAAAGCCTTCATCTGTTCCTGAACAAATGGCCATGTTGATACCACATGAATCCACATGAATCTTTGGGGAGGGTATTCCACAAATAGGGTGCCACCACCAAGACATCATGAGGAGCTGGTATTAGCACCTGAAGAAAAGCCTCCAATATTAATCTCAGAGAAAGGAGAGGATGGTGTGGAGATAAGTGGCTTTTAAAGTACCACGTATAAAATGCAATAAAATGTGTTCAAGTTAGTAACTGAGGACCTTTTTTTCTAAACTGCATTTTACAGATC